TATATTGGTTTGAATTTGTCCGAATTAGCCCGATCGGAAAATGTCGAAGGGTGATTTTCCTAGCAAAGATCCCATATACGTACCGATCATGCCGAAATTAATAACCGGATTGACCGAAAAACCATTCGGGTCAATTTTTATCATGTGTTCCAGGAATTATGAAAATAGCTGTAAGAAAAATTTTAGGCGAATCCAATCCCTAGTAATGCCAAATATATGTCTTATCAAAAAAATGTATTGCAGATGAAATAGCATGTCGGCATTACGGTGTCGGGGAAATGAATTGGTGGGTAAATAACTTTCGGGGAATCGTGCCGGTAGTACAAAGGAAACAGCCAATCAATGAGTTCAAATTTTGATCGTTCCGGATCAGCCTGACATGAATTCCGAACACGTGAGAAAGAAAAAGCGAAAATTCTCAAAAACTAGTGTTTAAATCGACCTTAATGCATTAATTAAAAATGTTTGGAACGAAATTTTACATATAATAGACAACAGAAATATGGCTATGGCTTTTAATGTTAAGGTTTTAACTCTAAACTTGTGTTTTTACGAACTTTGTTCAAAATAACAGATAATAATTTTCTTTTTTTGGGAAAGCTTTTTGGGAAAATCATGTGATTTTGAGAAAATCACGATTTAAATCGTCACAAGATTAATTCTAATATAGTAACAACGAAGAAAATTTTTATTATTAGTATATTTTACAAACTAAATATATTTTTAGAAAGATAAAACTTAAATTAAACTATTATTATAAAATCTCAAAATCTGATTGGTTGGTCCATTGCCCCCTTTTGTTGTAGGGGGTCCCATATACTGTACTTGTATGCTATGTAAATTATACTACTTGTACTCATCTCCGATCAGAGACATATATAAGTAAATTTAGTTTTCGGTCAGGAATGAGTCAAATAAAAGCACAAAGTCTGCTTTTTCCTTTGCGGCGCTCATTTTATTTCATATTTTTATTATTTACTATTATTATGTTTTAGAATCATTCATTTTTTCTAATTTTATTCATTTATTTTATTTTTATTTTTATTTTTTGTCCTAGCTAGAACGGTTATTTATTTGAATTCTTGGTAACAATACCATAATAATCATCAAAAATTTTTGTAAACTATACGTTGTAACAAAAATTTGTACGTAAACTATATGCTGTAACAGTTATTTTCCGAAATTGTATGACTGCATATAAGGAATTAATTATTGTTTGTTACATTTACTAAAACAGAAATTCCAAGAGAATCCAAGATTTGAATTTATCACCTTACCGAATTAAGCTTCTAAGGATCATTTTTGGTAAAGTGATAAATTCTAAATTTTGTTTCTCCATTGGCACAATCCAATGTGTTTTACAAAAAAAAAAATATATACATATATATATACCACATTAATTAATTATTTGATCTACTAAACTTGTTTATACTTTCTCTACGTTATTGCAAAAGAAAGGGTCAAGAATGCAAACCCGCCAGGCAAGGCTCCTGGCGAAAGTTGAAAAAAGACCTAAATTACCTTCATTTTGTCCCTCTAGGTCAAATATGAATCATAATTTATCCCCATTTCTTCCTCAAGGAAATTTCAATCAAAAGTTCCCTTCTAATAAACATAAACCTAACTTTAATTTTAATCGTAAAATTTCTTATCAACCTACTGATTCAAAAGTATTAATCCTACTTTTTAGATTATTAGGGATTGCTATAATTGGACTTTTATACTCTTACTTAATATATCCATGGCTTACTCTTAGAAATAATTCTTTAATAGACAATTCCTCTAATTCCTCTTCATATCAACCTACTCCTAATCCAATAATAAGAGATAAGATTATATTATATCGTATACTTGGTAATGATCTCCCGCCTCGCCATAAAGCTGGACAAACATTGAGGAATGTGAAATTTATATTAGAACATGAATTCGAATTTTCAAATACAAAAAAATGGTGGATTCTTAATAGAATTGCTGATTCGGATTACGAAAATGCTTTAATAACCCTTTTAAAATTGCATAAACAAGATTATATTAGAATTCCTTTTATCGAAAATGAGTATTCAAAACTTGATTTTCGTATTGATGACTTTCCAATACCTGATTTTTTCAATTCGGATGAATTCATGCGTTTTTCAAAGGTTACAAAATTAAGAACTATTGATTATACTTACATTAATAAAAATTTATATGCTATGAATAATGTAAGTAAACTCTATTCTTTAATTATATATATTATAAACTGTAACCTTTTTTTTTCATCTTTTCGTAGAATGGTGGTCGGAACGTAGCCCTTGCTCATGGCAAATCTCAATTAAATGCTCGTTGGATTCTACCTTTTGATGGAAATTGTTTTTTGACACCTAATGCATTTGCTGATATTCGTTCTCATTTGGATCTATTTGGTGATCAATATAAATATTTTATAGTGCCAATGGCAAGATTAATAAATAATTCACAATTGTTAGAGGAATCGGATGTTCGTCCCATTACTCCAGAAGAACCTCAAATAATCTTTAAATACGATTCTGATAAGACGTATAATGAACAAATGCGTTACGGTAGAAGGTCAAAAGTAAATTACCTATTTTTATTTCTTATGTTAAAAATATTATATAAAATAATAAGATAATTAATATCATTATAATATATCTTTTAGTTGGAAATGCTATGGCGTTTAGGTGTCCCTCCATCAAATAGACTTGCTGACAAATCATCTATTCCATGGGAACCACATAGTTTTCCTGATAAGGCAGAGGAAGTACAATATATGTCTGCTGGCTGGGTTTTTCGTTTATTTTCGGGTCAAATGTCACAAGAAACAAAAGAAGCTGGTCCGATACGTTCATTTAATCGATTATTGGCTATTCAGAACTTTATAGATAGTTTAGACGAGCATATTGCACGAAAAGTTCAAGGTTTTGATCCTTTTCGATTATTTCTTTACAATGAAACTTTACTTAATAAAGCAAGACTGGACTTCTGGTTAGGTGTACCTAAAGTGGTTAAAGTAGTCAAAATATTGATCAAACATGCCGATGATATATTATCTGAAACAATTAATTTATATGAATCGGAACCTAATGTCCATTTGGATGAGAATATTCGTGTACATTTCTTGAAAATCAAACAAAAAGTGTCCGATAAAAAAACCAACTTTTATCAAGATTTTATACTAGTCAACATGACCAGAAATCCGCACCTTGATCTTTCTGGTCTTATGAAGGATTCATTTAGAAAACCCCCTGTGCAATCACCCATGACACTTCCAACTGTATCACCCGATGTATTCTTTGAAAATGTAACAACTTTGACCCTTGCTCATTATTTTTCTGGTGATGAACAATATTCAAGGTGGGCCGCTAATCTGATTCGATCATTCATTCTTTCATCGTATGCAATTGGAGAACAAGACAACGTTGACATAGATGTACCTTCTTATACGATTGATAATGAAACCATTATTAACGAAGGTTATAGTTTTCCTTATTTAAATAAAATTCCTCGAATGATACCAAAATTTTTAAGTGTCGGCGCATCTTTTTCAAAAGATTTATCTAGTATCGATCCAAGTCTTTTCCTGGATGTATGCAGGCTTCTTTATCGAGCTCATGTTCTTACTCATAAAGAATATATGAATCTCCGAAATTTTGCATCTGATTGGTT